GTGATGTGGAAGAATGGTGCAGAACATGCAGTACATGTAGTGCTAAAAGGAGACCCAAGCATAATGGATGCCCATATTATGAGGAGTTGACTGAGAATGTGTCAGAGTTTGAGAAAGTGTTATCGGAAAGGATGGATGATATTCACCAATCACGTGCGTTCAAACTTGAAGACGTCTGCTGATTCGATGAAGTTAACTTATGATAAGAGATCTACTGAAGTCAGCTTTGTACCAGGAGACAAGGTATGGTTGTATAATCCCAGGAAGACCAAAGGGAAGTCTCCTAAGTTGTCTTCCCCATGGGAAAGCCCAAATGACATAGTGGATCGTCTCTCAGACGTGACTTTCCGGGTCAAATTTATTGGTATTGTTGCGTCATCGAGATCACATGACTATTATCACGCCACTCCTTCTCTCGAACCTTCGAGAGATTACTAGATATAGGGTAGTCTGGTATATATAAGATGGTCACAACGTGACGCAATAATGTGTGCAGGTAATGAGTAATTGAACTGCAGTCAGAGAGAGACGTATTGTTGAAGTTAACGTCGTTATTATAGTTTGTTATAGCGGGAATGTTGAAATCAAGTGTATCGTGAAGTTATATTCAGAAAGAATAAACCAGTTTTATTAAGTAAGGACTTGTGTCGCTAAAGTTTCGTCGGAACGAAGTTACGGAAAATCAATTAACAAACGGAGACGTAACAGTAACTTGTATTAGACATATATTCTTTCTTATTTTGAGTGTATTAAGTTATGTTTGTTTGAGTATCTACCATGTAATTTGTTTAATGTGACTTATCAAACATATTTTTTTAACTTACTCTGAGGATTTAAGCTTACCTTTACTTATTTTGTAGATATTTAGGTTTCTGCCAGAAGCGATATTTTGTAGTCTTACCTTCATGAGCCTTGTAGCTGTCTTTAAGCTCTTTATGTTATATGCAAAAGACATAACTTGTGAAACAGTTTTAAACCTTGCATCTAAATCTGCTTACATTGACAACTTTTATTTTAAGCCTTCTTTAGCCCTTAATTGGTTTCTTGGGTTGAAGAATTGATAAGTAATTTTGTATGTGTAATAGTAGGATAATAGAAAGTATTTTCATTCAATTATATACTTATAATCAATATTTATAAAGAAACATAGAAAATGTAGTGAAACTATTATATTTGTTCTTCTGTATTTATGTTATACTCTAAAATAAATTAGATATTCAAAAACTGAAATAATACATTTGGTCCCCTATCTTAAAAATCTAAGAGGAGTGTACTTGAACTGTCTTATGAATGTATAACACCAAACCTTTTGTTGTTGTGTTTCAGGGAAAGAGATGATTACGAATTTCTCTATTTTCAAGAATTTGAATAAGAGAGGCTTATGGAAGGACTTTACTCATTTCAAGGATTATAACCAACATATTCTTTTAATGTCATGCATATTTAGTCCACATATTTTTTACCTTGGACTCTTTTTATTGGTCCGTGTTGCCAGCATAGAAATTAGTCACTAGAGGATCTTGGCCCGACAATCTACTTTATGTCAAAGTATCTTGTGATAATTCTACCTTCTAGCTTGCATCGAGGTGGAACAGGTAATTTTAGTCCATAAAAGATGTTAGTAACTTGTACATATATTCTTTATAAAGATCCTCTCAGCCTAAGATGTCTTCTAGAAAGCATTTAGATCATTGTTACCTAAAGTTATGTTAGCTTATTCTATTAATATTGGGTCTTTTATTTCTGAAGGTCCTCAGATTAATGAGAATGGATATTCCCACAAATGAAGGATTAGCCAATAATTTCTTTAAATGTTTTGGCAACTTTAAAAGATGAATAACAAAGCCATTAGAACTTCAACTTATATTTATCTAACTTTTTCCAACAAAGAAACATTTTGACATTATTATGGTGATAAGTTTAGGTAAGTGACCAGACTCTTTCATTCATTAAAAAAAAGAATGACTTTCCATTGAATTTATTTTTTGTATTTTAAAACTGTGTCTTTGTAAAACTGAAATTATAACCAGCTGTAACAAGTCACCTTTGGGACATTATAAAACAGTTGTGTTTTAATACACTTGTGGCTAATCATGTAGGGTTGGGATACAAATTGATCTCTAATTTTGAATCAGAATATATTCCTCATACACTAGATTTAGAGAAAACCATGCATCTATTCCTGTTATTTCTACCTAACACATTTTTGTAAATATACATTAAACGTTTCTTACTCCACAAAAAAATTTCTAAACTTTTTTCTTATTCTAATTCGAAATAATATATACAAAGAACTATTCTTTACAATTGATTGTATGTGAAATTTATTTTGAACCAATGTCCAAGTAGAAACATTTTATGACTGGCTGTATAGCATACTCGTGATCTGTTGGAAACTTTAAATATGTATATGAAGCTGCCCAATAAAAAGTAGTTACGTCACAAACAAAAAAAAGCCCATATACATTGAGATTCTTGTAACTAAGTGTGTAACATACTGTGCATTTTGTCCTATTACAAATGTTAAATGTCCATGTAACATATATAGCTCACAGTGTCTAGAAATATATGTTTATTAAATTTAATAGTTTGAATCTTTCTTCCATGTTATAAATATTAGATAATTGTCCATATAACATACTTGCTGTTTTATAGAAATTTTTTATTCAATTTAGTAAGTGTTCCAAAGCAGAGACTTGATAGGCATTTATGGTAAATGACCATGTGCATGTATGTAATTTACTAGAATTGCTAAGTGATTGTTTGTGGAAGTTTTTTTGATACTGATATAAAATTTAAAATAAACTCACTATAGTTTGTGTAATTAAATGTTCACATAGCTTGCATTTGGTCAATACAAACACTTGTACAACTCCTTCTATTAATATGCTTTGTGTTTGTAATATGGGGATAATTAACACTCAGATTCTATAATACAAGTAGTCAAAAGTATTAGTATTTTTACAGTCAGAATTATTTAAACCTGGGTTGTAAAGATACATAACATTTATTTTTTATATAAGTCGGGTATACTTAAGCAAATGAAACTTACTAAAGTTCAAAGAAAAAAAAAACTGAAATGTTATACATACATTCACTGTGTAGAAAGTTGAGATGAATCATTAAATTTTTAGTCACTTCGTAGAGAAAGAGAGAAGAAATAAAACATATCATACACTACTCTATCTCATTGGTTACTAGGTGGTTCTTTATGTCTTGTAAAATCGTAGTTGTCGAGTAACATTAGATCCTATCAGTAACTTAATAGAAAAAACTGAAAGTACACTGATGCTTATACTCATTATACAATATTTTAGTTTTAGTTTACAGTATAAAAAGGACCAATATCAATCTATACTGGTAATATTTTTATTAATTAATGACTTTATTATGAAGTTATAAAATAGTAGTGTATGCTGTAAAGTAGATGGCTTTTATATGCATTTTTTTAGTGGTTTATGTTATTGTGTTTTCTGCAATATGAATATTTTTACAAGAATAATTTTTTCTTTGTGTTGTACATTATTAAATGTTGTAAGTACATATCTTTGAATACGTATAACTATACCAGGTTTTATACTTAAAAGTGTTGTTCACTTGTTGAAATTATAATAGTTTAATTTTGAATTTTTTATAATTTGATTATGTTCTTTGTAAGGTAACTTCAAAACCATATAAAAAAAATGTACTTCAACATATAAACCACTGATGTATTTTAAAGAATTGTTAAAGAATAATTTGTCAGTGCTGGTACCATAGAGACAAGGTTGTCTCTTGTTAGATTTTTGTAAGTGTTTTGTTTCAACAAGATTTCACGTAAGACGTATCTTTTTTATAAGGACACGAAAATAGACTTCCATTGTTATATCAGAAACAAATCAAATTTATAATAAAGTTACTTATCATTCCTTATAAGATCATAAGTACATAAGACAGGTATTTTTTATTAGGCCAGAGTGGTTTATACTTTCATCAAGAAGCCCTCTCATCTCAGTTTATAAGAATGGATGTATTGATCACGTCATGAATACTTGATTATTTTCATCAAGTTTTGGAGAAATTTGCTTTCACGTGGTTATCACAAACATCCATCTTTATATACATTTGTTTCCCACATAGGGAGGCATATCTATATTCTTTATGTCAAGTTGACAGAGCTACTTTCTTTAGGAAAACTAAACAAACTTAAGATCGTGGACACCTTGTGTTTTTTCTTTATTTCATGGAAAAGATAAATCTACCCTAATTAGCATTGGAAGACCAGCAGTATATTCATCAGGAACCAAACCAGTTCTAATCTCACATCCTTTATAATATCAACATTTTGTCCAATCTCTACCTAATCTAAGTACATTATATTTTTTTTCAACTTTTCTATTTAGCTTAAATATGTTTTGTTGAATTATTGGTTATGCTTGCTACTAATACAATGGCAGTTACTTTATTTTCGGAGATTTCGTTCTGTAGTGTGTTTAATAAATTATACTATCCTGCCTCTGAATATGTTTTTGTGGTTGTGACCTATTATACTTAATCCTTAAAAGAATATTCTGCTATTGTAGAGAGAACGTTTAGTTATTAAAACTGAATATAATTTAAACTAGCTTCAATACCTAATACGTAAAATTTACTGAAATTGCAGTTTTATAGACCTACTTGAACCATTTGTTTTTATTTTCTTTATATCTCGGTCAAGATGATAAAATTTAAGTCCCACACTTGTGCTTTTATTTTTTCTTTATTGGGCGATAAAAAGCGCCATGTTATAGAAATGTATACATTGGATGAAGAAATAATAAAAAATGCCTCAGATAGTGACTTCCTTGAGTTATTTAAACTTAATACCCAATATTTCCTATCTTATTTTCTTCGTTTTTACAGAGAGCAGTAAATAAACTAAGTACACTGAATTAATTAAAAAATTCATGTGTATTAACACATTTTTATACACGATAAATCAAGTTTCAAGTTAATTAATTCGATCTTTTTTTTCTTACTGCTATTTTCTAGATATTGTCTTCTATTTTCAGTCTCTCGATTTTTATTAATGAGAATTTTAACCGCGAGAGAGAACTCTGGTAATATATCTCGCAGAATGTGGATGGATAAGTGGTGGGGTCGGTAATTATCACCGAATTCTTCGCGCGAATAATTAAGAATGAGATATCGTTATGTAATCTGTTTCTTTTTGAGTTGGGTATTCTTGAGATTTCAATATTAATCGTGATTAAAATACACGGGAAATCTCAACTAAAAGAATAAATTGTATGTGCGTGTGCATAATTAATAATAAATACAAAATTCACTAAAGTATTGCATCATACGTAGTATATTAACACGCGCACTTCAATATAGGGGTCTTGTAATCCCATTGTAATTATAGGAATCTGAGTGAGACAGACTTTTGAAAACTAAAAGTTTACCGCGCTTTAAAGTGCCAAAGAAGATTGCTACCCAGAAGTTTTGTATTCATACATTTTCATGGGTCAGTATGTTGCTGAATTTGACCTTGATCAAGCCGGTCGAACAACCACAATGCATTAGAGAAAGCTACCAATTTGACCAGTCACCTTGTACAAAGTTGGGATGAATCTTTAAAGTTTTAGTCACTTCTTAGAGAGAGAGAAAAAAACAAATATCATACACTAATCTGTTCCATTGGTTACTAGGTGGTTCTCTATGTCTTGTAAAATCATAGTTGTTTAGAAACATTAGATCCTATCAGCATCTTAACAGAAAAAAACTGAAAGTAGACTGTTGCTGTGGGCTAGAAAAAAAATGCTTTGTTTCCGTTTGGCCGTTCGACCCTACGTAACAATATCCAACCCTAAAGTTTTTTTTTCAAAGCTTCCAAAAAACATTCATCTCCCGACCGACCCTAAAGAAATACAACATTCGATATTTTTTTTTATCTTCATTAAGTTATTACACCAAGCTGCTACCATATTGTTACGTATCTGCTTGCTTGTTAATTTCCCGTAGAAATTATTTCCAAGAAACTTACCGTGACTACTGTTTACTTTATCATACATTCATACCCCAGGCTTATATACTAAAAAAGAGGGCGTCTCGAACAAACTCGGGCTTACCCGATAATTCATGATCATTCGAGAAATTTATCACGTGTTACCAGGTTCACGTGACTTCCGCTGTCGTAACAATATTATGCAAGGTGAAGGTAATAAGAAACCATGTCAACTCTTTCAACACCGTTGGTCAGATTGACCGACCACGTGACCACTTTGTACTTGTTATAGTTTCGGTACTATTAACTTTTAATATGATAAATGTATCTTAACAAAACTTGGCAGACTTTGAGTAAACTTTAAAAGCCTTTATATACAAAAAAGAAAAATAAAAAACCGGATTTTTTTTAGTTAACTATTTTTACTAAAGATTCGTTCCTGATATATCGAATATTGTTTTTTATTTTTACCAGTCCCAGTGCAAAGTGATTTCCATGTTAAAATTAAAAATAATTTTCTTTACCAACATTTCATATACGTAATCTCTAAAATGTCCTAAATATATTTCCAACGTTTTTCTTTTCGGTGCAACTCTATATGTTACTTTCTTTACCCTAATTCTATACAAGGTTGGTCAATTTGATCGACCTCGTAACCAAATAAAATTTTAAATAAATCTAAATTACCCTTTTTTTCTTTGTAAAATGACTTCAAATGATAACATGAAATTAAATTTGTTTATCCTAAGTAGCTTTAAACTCGTAATAGTATACATCTATTTATACTTGTATTTTATTTTTTACTGCCCTTTATACTGTATCTACCTGTATTATAAGTTGTAAATCGCTTGGGGAACGTGTGCTTCACGTTATGCTATCGAATTACATTACCCACGAGCTATTCGCGTGCGTAGCTCGTGAATTTTTTTTTATTACATTATTTATTTTACCTAATCTAACCTTTAACTTAAAGAGTTTCCTATTCTTACATTTCAGTTCTTTTGAGCTTTCCGCAAAGTTCATCGAAAGCTATCTGCACAAGTTGTCCCTAATTTATAAGTGACAGAATAGAGGGAAAACAACTAGTTAACACCTCCCACCGACAACTCTTTAAATATTCTAATCGAATAGTGGAATTGAGTGTTACATTATAACGCCCTTACGGTAGAAAGAGCGAGTATGTTTGGTAATGAGATTTGAATCTGTGACCTGCAGATTGTGGGTGCTCTAACACTAGGCCAATTTTAATAAGATTGCTGTAATTGAGTACTTCTGTAAAATATTTTTGTCAGATAACATATAATGCCATTACTTTAACCTGAATTATTAAGAAAAAAAGTTTTTCTTAATAGACTAAAATGGTTGTCTCAAGTGAACGTTATTGTATAAATACAATAATATTATATCACAAACCTAGAAAATACAAACTAGCTTTTGTCTTGTTTTAACAATTACTTTTTTACGAAGTTGTCAGTATTAACTGATAAAAATGTACTTATAAAAAGTTGGCGACTTTTGATAAGAGTATACAATTATT